AAAAAAAAAAAAAAACTTAACTTCAATTTATTTTTTTAAAAATGAAAGAAAATCAAATGATTTTCAAAGTTTCTGGTTTATAATCATTGAATGCTATGTATTTAAATGAGCTAATTATTTGACCAAAGTTTATATTAAATTTTATATTATATTTTTTAATACTTTGTAACATATTCGTAGTATATGTTTAACAATTATGCAAACTCTAATTGGAATGAGGTTCGAACCTAAGACCTTTCTTATAGAAATTAATGAGTAAGTTAAGAATAATAAATAGTTAACGGAATATTCCGTTAATAAAGTTTATACTAACGGAATTTAAGGTTATTTAAGGGAAGAAAATAATATAATAAAGGATAAATAAGAAAAATCACTAAGAAATACTAAAATCAAAATACTATGAACCATTCATTTTAAGAAACAAGTAGTACCGACATTTTTTTTTATTCCAATTAAGGGCCTAACATTATTGGCTCTTATTATAATTGTAGATGTAGATACAAGCTTCAAATCCTCCAATGTTTATCCTTCCCATGATATTTCTCCATTGAAGACTTGCAAAGCTATTAGACTGCAATTGGTGTGCACCTATATGAAGTCCCATAGAGAAAGGGGAGTGATTCCATAAAATCTAGAGAGTGCATGTTTCACGATCAAGAGGTATTTTTTTTCAATTTTGTTTTTTTTTTCTACGACTCCAATGTTTATTCTTGCCCACGATATTTCTCCATTGAAGACTTTCAGAGCTATTAGGTGGTGATTGGTGTGCACCTATATGAAGTCTCATAGAGAAAGGGGAGTGATTCCATAAAATCTAGAGAGTGCATATTTCACGATCAAATGGTATTTTTTTTAGATTTTGCTTTTTTCTAGAACCCGTGTTGTATATGAAATTGGAAAAAGATGCATTACAAAGTTGCTTCCTATACTGCAAAAATAAATTGCAAAATAACACTTTTCTTTTTTACTCCATTGTAGGGAACTTCATGCGTATATACCAAGGGAGCAAGCATGTTGGTAAGTACTGTTAGCTTTTCAAAAAATGAAAAGTTTATACTATTAAAAATTTTATGGTGATAAGTAATTTCTATGCTAGGGAGCAAGCATGTTGGTAATTTACAAAAGAGTAAAAGACATTTTTGGTTCTAGACTTATAGTGGCTTGGACAATTTTAGTCCTTTATAAAAAAATTTGCCATTTTATGGACAGAGTTATTGTGGCGAGGACATTTTTGGTCCTCCGTCTATATTTCTGTTAGATAACTGTATGAGAGAGGGGCAATTACGTCAATTTAGACTATCTCTTTATTGTGAGATGGACGATTTTGATCCCACAACCATGCCTTTACTCTGACCCTCATTTATTTGTAGTTATGCACTACGAAATGCTCTGCCCACAACCATGCCTTTACTGCAACTTGGACTCTCCGACTCCTTCGAATTATGACTGAGAAGAAAACAAAACACACATAGATATAATAGATAGAAGGAGATAGCCTAAATTGACGTAATTACCCCTCTCTCAGACGGTTATCTAACAAAAATATAGACGGAGGACCAAAAATGTCCTCGCCACAATAACTCTGTCCATAAAATGGCAATTTTTTTTATAAAGGACTAAAATTGTCCAAGCCACTATAAGTCTAGGACCAAAAATGTCTTTTACTCTTTACAAAAAATGCACTCATTATTTTATGTTGTAATTCAACTATGCTACTTTGGTTAAAGAATAACAAAAAATGGCAACTTTCCTAGACAAATTTATTTATTGAAATCATTTTGATCTTTGAAGTCAACAGTTCTTTGGTAAGTTTTATTTACAATTTTAATCTACATCTGAATTCTTTTTTTTTTATTAACATGTTTGACGTTATTGGTAGGGTCGTTGAGATATACTCCCCATTGGATAAGATCATTGCAAAGAAGCCTTTTTAACTTATTTATTTTCTAATTGTACGTGTATACAAAGTAAATTATCTAATTTTGTTATTTTTATTGTATTTTGTATATGTATTTTTTATTAAGTAGTTTATTTGTTATACAGATAATCAATTGAAGGCTACACTGTGAGATCAACATATACCAACAGTTGAAACCTTCTTTTTTTTTCTTTTTTTCTAATTCTAGCATTGCAAATCCTATGTTTGTTCTTATGCAATTGTGTAGAGTTAAGAATGATACGAAGAGTAAATCTAAACACAAGTGTTTTAATTTTTCTTTATATTTGAAGTGTTTGAATAAGGACAAGTAATGAATGTTCTTTTTGATTAGCCGGTTATGTCAAGATATGTAACTCTTGATACAGAGCTCATTTTCAATCAGGATTTTCAGAGTTTGCTGGAAAGATAAACTTATTATGTCTTAATTATTATCATAATGTTTTTATCATTTATTTTTGTACATATTTTGTTTATGATTGTCATTTTTTTTTTCAATTTATGTGTTGATTAGACCCCTCTAAGAAACATTATTGATATTTATGAGATGATTGAGGTAAACCGTAGCAATAAAATATTTTTTTAAAAATTGATGCAGTGACATCAAATTTTCTAATCATCTTTTGCTACTTTTTTAAATGATTTATTAGTATAAATTGTCACACTTTAAAATGTATTTTTTTATTGTTAATAAATAAATTAGCTTAAAATAATACATTACAATCCAAAGGATAAGCAAAGTATAAAATAAAGTATAAAATAAAGCCAAAGTTATATATGTTTGCAAAGTGATGGAGCATTGTAATAGTCTCAGAGCATCCAAATAAAGAGATCATTTCACTGATTATTTCTTTCTTATCTCACATTATTAAAGGTTCAATACTGCATATATATATATATATATATATATATATATATATATATATATATATATATATATATATATATATAAAGTATTAGTAATAACATTCGTACTGCTAAATGTGTATATAATTAATTATTTATTGATTTAAGATCAAAGAGTGACATATATGATCTTAGAGCTCAAATTTTACTTCCAGATATATTATAAATAATCAACCTACATCAGTACTACCTTATCTTCATATGAACAAAACTCATCATCCATGGAGTGGTGAAAACAATTAAGAGCCCCTCACTACAATTTTCCTCTCTGTAATCACAGTTTCTTTCTTATAACTTAAAAAAATAAATGCTTCACATATAATAGTAAATAGAATTATAATATAGTAGAAAATAGGAATTAATATTATATTAGTTGAAATTGTACTTATCTTTAGTAAATCTTTTTTTACACTTTTGGAAGATTCTTTTGAGCCTTCAAACATGTGTGCATGTGCACATACAGAACTATAAACTGTCATTTTTAGATTGAATTCATCTTTCATGCGTAGCTGTATTTTCACCAACTAATTTAATAAAGCTTATTTTGTAAGCAAATGTAAAATGGGTATTAACTAAAATCTTGATAATATTGTTTCCATATTCACATATTAACGTAATAACATAATATCATATAGAAAAGACATATTAGTTATATTCTATAATATAATAATATTTTTGGTAACATTAAAGTTTGTAAATTTTCTGTATTTTTTTTACGTATTTATAATATCGTGTAGAAAAAATATTAATTAATTAGGTAATAACATAATAGTATAATTGGTAATATTATGTATGGTATTACCGTGTAGAATTTTTGGATGTTTATCACCAACTAATTTAATACAATTTATTTTGTAAGCAAATGTAAAATAGAAATTAACTAAAATCTTGGTAATATTGTTTACATATTCAATGCTCTCATGTACTAACATAATACCCTATATAGCCAATTTAAATAATTTATAATATAACCAATTCATGTATATATATGCTACAACCTCACGGTCAAATCTATACTATAATTAAAAACAAAATCTTATTTACTTGATTTCCTGCACAAACAATAGTAAATAGTAACGGTAAATTAAAAAAGAACATAAATATTTCATAATAATATTCTACATCATCAATTAAAAATAGAATGGAAATTAGGTAAATTGAAAAAAAGAAATGAATATTAATAATTCACTGAAAATTAAAAATGAAAAAAGAAGAAGAAGAAGGAATTGAAGTTAGGTTAATTGGAAAAGGAAATCAATATTAATAATTGACTGAAAATAAAAAATGTATATATATATATATATATATATATATATATATATATATATATATATATATATATATATATATATATATATATATATATATATATATATATATATATATATATATATATATATATAGGCGGGTTCAGGTGCGGTAGTGTCTTACGGTGCGGCAACACCAATAGTTCACCAAATATGCACCATCAACGTTAGGAAATACATCACACAAAACAGAGTAAACAGAGCCCTGCATGACCAAACACACACCATTAGGTGTGAGTAAAAACACCATACACTGTTCGGAAATACACCATTGGGGGTGGTGAGTTATATGGTGTGTTTTTTTGAGTCTGTGGTGTATTTTGTGATGTTTTATTACATTTCATTGGGGTGTGTTTTTATTACACTGTTGGTGTATTCTGGAATTTGACTGCACCGCCGCACCGTAAGACCCCGCCGCATATGAGCGCTCTTCTATATATATATATATATATATATATATATATATATATATATATATATATATATATATATATATATATATATATATATATATATATATATATATATATATATATAGAAGATAGCTCAGATACGGTCAATGCATTATGTGCGGCGGTGTGGCTGAATCTGGGACGTCCATTGTGTTTAATCTAACGGCAGTAACATATCAGCTGGTTTAAGGAAAGCTTATTTTCGCGTTTGGTATATGGGGGTCTTTTTGTAATTTTGATGGCTGGTTACGTCCATGTATATAAGTTGCGTTTCTAATTTTCACCGCTGGGAGAAGATAAAGATCACCGGAGATCACCATCGCAGTTGGGGATTGCGATCGCAATTTGAGAATATCGCCGAAGATCATAATTGCAATTGGAGAATATCACTGTTGAGCGATGGAGCCTGGTATGTTTTTATTTTTTCGAGGTTTTTAGTTTTAATTTGTTGTTATTATTATTATTATTATTATTATTATTATTATTATTATTATTATTATTATTATTATTATTATTTATTATTATTATTATTATTATTTATTATTATTATTATTATTATTATTATTATTATTATTATTATTATTATTATTATTATTATTATTATTATTATTATTATTATTATTATTATTATTATTATTATTATTATTATTATTATTATTATTATTATTATTATTATTATTATTATTATTATTATTATTATTATTATTATTATTATTATTATTATTATTATTATTATTATTATTATTATTATTATTATTATTATTATTATTATTATTATTATTATTATTATTATTATTATTATTATTATTATTATTATTATTATTATTATTATTATTATTATTATTATTATTATTATTATTATTATTATTATTATTATTATTATTATTATTATTATTATTATTATTATTATTATTATTATTATTATTATTATTATTATTATTATTATTATTATTATTATTATTATTATTATTATTATTATTATTATTATTATTATTATTATTATTATTATTATTATTATTATTATTATTATTATTATTATTATTATTATTATTATTATTATTTATTATTATTATTATTATTATTATTATTATTATTATTATTATTATTATTATTATTATTATTATTATTATTATTTATTATTATTATTATTATTATTATTATTATTATTATTATTATTATTATTATTATTATTATTATTATTATTATTATTATTATTATTATTATTATTATTATTATTATTATTATTATTATTATTATTATTTATTATTATTATTATTATTATTATTTTTTTTTTTTTTTTTTTTTTTTTTTTTTTTTATTATTATTATTATTATTATTATTATTATTATTATTATTATTATTATTATTATTATTATTATTATTATTATTATTATTATTATTATTATTATTATTATTATTATTATTATATTATTATTATTATTATTATTATTATTATTATTATTATTATTATTATTATTATTATTATTATTATTATTATTATTATTATTATTATTATGTATTTGTTCTGTTTCGGATGTTTTCTCGCGTTTTTTTTTCTGGTCTGCCGGTGTTCCCGGTGTTGACTATGGTATTGTGTGTTGTGTCTGTGATTATGGTGCGATATTTGTATGATTGTGGTGAATATTTTGTTGTTGGTGTGATTTGTAGTTTTTAGATTTTATGCATATGTATGTTGCATGTAGGTAGTGTATTTGTGTGTTATTGGATTAAATTTGGTGTGTTATTAGGTAACTTGTCGTGTGCAGCTGTCAATTTGGACTCTGTTGGTGGTGTTTGCGATAAAGATAATTCAACTAATGTTGGTGGTTGTGATGAACTTACTTTGGACTCTGTTGGTGTAGAAGGTAATGGTGGTTGTGATGAAGTTAAATCCTCTGATGTTTGTGTAGAAGGCAGTGATGGGGGTTGCAATGAAGGTAATTCTACCGATGTTGGTGTTGAAGGCAATGGTGGTTGTTGCAATGAAGACTATTCCACTGATGTTAGGGTAGGAGGCAGTGTATGTGACTTGGAAATTTCTCCTGGGTTGACCAAGTATTGGCGCCCAGTTTGTGGTGACAGTTTGAAGCCTCATGTGGGGCAAAAATTTGATTCTTTGGATGGTGCTATTGCTTTTTATAAACAATATGCTGGTGCTGTTGGTTTTGATTGTAGGCAGGGCTCAAATCGGAGGAGGAGGGATGGCGTTGTTGTGGAGAAACATGTGTTATGCAGTCGTGATGGGTTTAAGCAGACTATTTCGGTTGATGCTAAAACTAATAAGGTGAAGAGACGGAGGGTGACAAATAGGGTTGGGTGTAAGGCTAAGGTGTTCTATAAGCTCAAGTCCAATGGTTTATATAGTGTGCATTTTCTGGAGGAACGCCACACTCATTTGATGTGTTCAATTATTGCTAGGCAATTTTTAAAGGTGAATCGCAGTCTTGATGCTGGACACCAAATGTTCATTGCGAGTTGTTTTCGGGCAAATATTGGTTCTGTTTTGTCATATAGGTTTTTTAAGGAGATTGTAGGTGATTATTCTAATGTTGGTGCTACAGGTGTGGATTTTAAGAATTTCAAACGTGATTTGATGGCGTACATATTAAATGGCGATGCTCAATTATTCATAGATACGCTTTTCAAGAGGCGTGAATTGTGTGAGGCTTTTGAGTTTGAATATGATGTTGACGATGTTGATCAACTTTCAAGGGTTTTTTGGGCTTGTCTAGGAAGAATTTTGCTTTGTTTGGTGATGTGGTTTCATTCGATGCTACATATCATACTAACAGGTTAGTAATTTGTGTTTATTGTGCATTTTGTAAATGCTTATAGTGCATATGTTTGGGTCTTATAGCGTGTTTTGTTAGGATGTTAGAGATAAGTATTTGTTGTGTTGTCCATTATGTAGGTATAAGTTGGTTTTTGTTCCATTTACGGGAATTGATAACCATAAGAGATCCATCACCTTTGGTGCTGGTTTGCTTACAAGGGAAGATGTAGATTCATATGTGTGGCTTTTGGAGAAATTTAAGAAAACCATGCGCCATGACCCTATTTGTGTTGTCACTGATCAAGATCCAGCTGTCAAGGTTGTTGTTGCTCGTGTGTTTGGTACATCAAAACATAGATTTTGCATGTGACATATAATGTGCAAGGTTGGACCGGTTTTATCTAAAGATGAGGTGTTTCGGAGGAAGTTGAATGGCATTGTTTGGAACAAATCTCTTGACTCCAAGGCTTTTGAGGATGCATAGAGTCGTATTATGGAAGAATATGGTTTGGGTGATAATGGTTGGTTTCGTTATTTGTTTGAGTCTCGTACATTTTGGGCATCTCCATATTTTCATGACGAGTTTATGTCGGGCTTGGTTAGGACAACTTCTCGATCAGAATCTCAAAATATTTTTTTTGGCAGTTTCTCTAATGGTCATTCTAGTTTGGTTGAGTTTTTGGTGCATTTTGGCAGTGCTATTGGTGCACAACGTCATACTCAAGCAAAATTGAATGCGGATTGTGAATCTTGTTTTCCTATGTTGAAGACACCATTGGCTTTGGAGAAGCATGCAATGGATGTTTACACCATTTCTGTATTTTATGATGTTCAAGTAGAGATTTGTGCAGCTTGATTTTCTTGTCGAGTGGCATCTTTGTGCGATTGTGATGGTCATGTGTCTTATGTGATAAAAGATGGTGACCATCGGCCATGGTGTGTGGAGCTTGTTTTGTCTGATTACACTGCTACTTGTTCTTGCAAGATGTTTGAGCGGATGGGGTTGTTGTGTAGGCATATTTTTTTTTTTTGTTTTTAAAGATCGTGGACTTGAGAGCATTCCTTTGAGGTATTTGGTGGATCGGTGGACAAAAGGTGCTTGTTTGAAGCCAATATTTGATATTGATGATACAATTGTTGATCAATCTTCTAAAGTGGAGAATGTTAGGGTGCTTACTAATATACTGTGGTCTGACATATATGCTTGTGTGGGATTGGCCGATGGTAATAGAGAACGTTTGTCACAGCTATGACGTGTTATTTGTGAGCAAAGACAATTATTTTTACAAGACGGTAGTGAGAATGGCAGTGGTGTGGCTGTTGGCAGCAAGCAAAGTGTGATTAATTCATTTTGTGGAGTTGTGTCTCAGGAGTCAACAGTGGAGGTGCGTGATCCTATCCAAGCTAAGAACAAGGGCAGTGGCAAGCGGTTGAAGAGTGCAAGGGAGAAAGCTGCCCATAAGTGTGTAAAGCAATCAAGAAAATGTCATACCTGTGATGAATATGGTCACAGTAGTAGGACATGCCCTTTAAATGGTTAGATAGGTCTTTGTTTGTTTGTTTTTTTTTTTTTTTTTTTTTTTTTTTTTTTTTTTTTTTTTTTTTTTGATTTCTCTTGGACTTAGATGTTTTTACAGTTGTGCACACATTTTATCTCATAACATAGAATCAGGATTTGCAATATAATTGAAATTTTGCATTTTATTATAGCATGTGGTCCGTTTAACACAAGTTATAGTGTGTTCTATAATGTATACTGGTGCATTTAGATATGTTTGGGAATGGTGTGTTTTACTTTGTCATCTGGTGCATTATTGTATTTAGAATGATGTGGTCCGTTTTAATTAACGGTGCGGTGCTTTTTTATATCTGTTGTTGGTGCATTTGAATTCATGGAATGGTGTCTTTCGAGTTTATCATGTAGTGGTGTGATTTAATTATCTGGCATGTATTTTAACACTTTGTTTACTGACGTGTAAGATTGCTAGTTGTGGTGCATATTAGTTTTTATAATGGTGCTTTTAAGTGGGGCATTTTTAAAGTGCAGTTCAATCACGTACATAGTGCATTGTAGTGCTCCAAATGGTGCATATTTGTTCCAAGTACATAGTGCATTCACATTGTCCGTGTGCCATCACAAAAGAGTAACTAGTTTAAAAGTAATCACAAAAATATAGACATCAACCATAAAAAATGTCTATCTGCCACCTGAATTTCTTTTCAAACACCAAACTCTGCTACCTGCTGAATGTTCCTTTCTCTGTGCTCGTTTACATCTGACATGGCTATGGCAGCCAAGTATCTCACTCTTAGTTTGTTCAATTGGTCCTTGTTGTTCTTATGCAATCCACATTGCCATTCTCCTTGTGTTTGTCCTCGAAAAGTCTCCAAATGGCGCATGAAAAAAATGCCACAATCCACCTTGTTGTGGGAATCTCTCCAAGGCATTTTCATTATTTTAGATTTTAGTTTCTGCACTTTCTCAGCTTTGTACGTGGATTTCATATGAAACAAGAACTTTGAAAAGAATTTTTGCTGCATCAAGTAATTGTATACAAATATTAGTATTCTGTTGTCTTTGTATATCAAATATACATAATCATTTAGGGTTTCGTGTGTTACCAGATTCTCAATCACATATCCATACTTGCTTTCCTTCTTCACAGTCACTGAAGAGTTGTCAATGATGTCGTACCTTTCCATTATCGGGCTAATAGACATCAGGTAGTAGTGGTTGGATGCCACTATTGGAAACAGAAACTGTCATAGCAACAAAGACTTAATTTAGTGTGGTTAGCATGAACACACCAACATGAGTCACAATATGCACCAAAGTATGGATAGTAATACACCACGCACGAGTAACTACTAGAATGCACCAACCAATCTTTAAAGTCAAAATTCAACTAGTAAGAAAATATGAAGCAGTGAATATAATATATTACTATCTTACATATAGAACTTTGTGCCACATAATGTCTACTGTAATGGCCTTGTCCTCAAGGTACTTTTCTTTGAATCTTCCAAATCTCACATCCTCATCTTCTTGTGGATCCACAACTGTGTACATATGCAAAAGTTCAATGGTATTTTTGTTAGAAGTTTATGCTTTTTAAAGATGAAGTTAGTTTTCCATTTTTTCACTTACAGTTGACCATGTTGAAGCAAATGAATTTTGTACAACCCCTCTCTGATTCGCGAATGTTGATTATGACTGACCAAGCATCAATTATAGAGACTGCAATATATGTATCTGGCTTCATTGTCAGCATATCTTTCCAGTAGATTACTCTTCCTTCACACTTGAATAGTTCTTGGGTCCTTGTAATACGTATACAGAAGATAATATAAATAAAATGCAGAAATAATGTATATTATAAGTACCAAAGCTAGTAATATTCCAACATAATCAATAAATACACCAAAGAGATATTAGTTACACACCACAATCAGTTAACAAATCATTTAATGTGAACAAACCAACACATACCAAAATATGCACTATTAACATGTGCATAACACACTACTACTTGTATACTAATAAGGGTCTCCCCACCCAATGTGTGAAAGCACACATCATATCATATAAACACACCAACTCTTATCAAATAATGCATCAGTTAATATAAGATATTTATACACCAACATTATTATATAATGCACCAACATATATATCAGTAACACACCAATTGTTAGAATGTGTTGTGCTTACAGATTTGGGTTAAGGTTTTCCAATACCCATTTCCTGATTGCTTCTTCTGTTGGAGATATTGGTTGGTCCAGATCAAGTACGTATGAGGAGGGTCTTGGTCTAATTGGGTTGTTTACTCTAGCTGGTCCTTTCCCCTTGTCTGCTAGTTGTGGTGGGTGTGGTGGATCTGAACCAGGGGCCTACTGGCCTTGGCCTACTGGTGTGGTCTGTAACATTTAAAGTTTAGTGTATGATTTTTATTTTTAATTTTATTTTTCCTTTTTTTTTGTGTTGTCAAGTTAATAGAATGTTTTTACCTCATCATTTATGTTCACAAGTTCAGCTTCTTGCCCACCTTCTTGAGCTTTCTCTGTTGCTTGACCATCTAGCCCATCCAATTGGACGTCTTCATTTTTCGGAGCTTCATCAATGTCCTGGTAGTCTTGTGCATTATCATTCACAGTTGTCGAGTCTCTATTTGGTCCCTCTTGTGACAATCCCAGGCTGAAAGTTGGCATATGATTTAGAAAAATCCTCTTGTTTACTACACGGACAATTTCATCAACCGCTTTCAAGAACTCAGGGTCACTCCAATAGGCATCTTCTTGCTGGGTAAATGTCAGTTGTCCATCTTCCTGTGCTTTGAATCCAAGCATCTGTCTAGCAGATTCAAACATCTGCTTGAATGTATCATGCTCCAATACTGTTGCAGGTGCATTTTCAATCAGCCTTGAAATTCTCAGTAAACTTTTTGAAATCGTCCTTGTGTTGGTAGTAACTTCATCAATAAACTCCTGTATATGCACCAGAAAGTTATGTTCAGTCAACGATAAGTAAAGCACCAGCAAAAAAAAAACACTCAATAGAGTGCCCCACACCAATGAAGGACTGTAGTATAAACACATCAATATATACAGAAGTATGCACTAAATACTGCTAGACAGTATTTAGTGCACTAAATACTGAAGTAATTCGCTAAATATGCACTAAGTACACCAATAACAAAAAAAAAAAAAAAAAAAAAAAAAAAAAACTGCTCAGGTCAATACCCTTTTAAAATCCATAACAAATTATAAATAAAATCACTAGATTACACAAAAAAAAAAAAAAAAAAAAAAAAAAAAAAAAAAAAACCCATGAGTGTTCTGTTTACCTGTAATCCATGGGGAAGTGGTGTGTTTTCTTCATATGCTGGTGGTTGTGGTGGTACATCAGACTGTCCTATACTGGGGTTCCGTTCACTGCATGGTGTGCTCTCCACTGGCAAGGCATCATCAACCCGCCCATATCCAAAGCCTCCAGATTTGAGCTCATCTTTTTGTCGTTGACGGAGCAACTTAAATGTCCATTTCTTCATGGCAGGGAAGCTTCGTGGAATAGTCATCCGGTATAGAACAACACGGTCAACATAGAATACCTACATTTGGTAGTTTAGATTATTAATATATTGATGAGTAAATAATTACAAGCATGTTTGGGGGCTTATTTACCGTTAGGAAAACAATTGGGCCTCCATATCTTCCATCAACGCTGTCCAGCCATGCCTGCTTGCTGGTGATGAGTGAGTTGATGAGCATTCTACACCAATTTAGTCGCTTGATGTTGCGTACATTAAGAAGGTTGTCGATGTAGTTTTGGTTGACATAACCATTAACTTGTGGCTCAACCAACACACTCATAACAAGCAGTGCAAAATGCCTTTTGAACCAAGGGTCACCAGGTTTTAATGTTAGCATCTTTTCAGCCATGACGTGGGGGGTGACGTGGCCAGTATCCTTCCCAAAGATTTTTCTCTAGGATGTCAGGAGATCAGATACTTGTTTGGACTCCCTCTTAGTGATTTCTATGTTTCCAAGTGGCAGTCCCAAAGTGGATGCAACATCATTTTCTGTGATTGGGAGCCTTTCACCAGTTGGTAGATTCAGTGTGTTGCTCCTAGAGTCATAGTTTTCAACTAGCCGCATCCCCATCTTCCTTGGCAGGTTGGTGATTTTGAGATCAAGTATCTTTCCTAGCCTAATATCTTGTACGCTTTTGCGTTGTTGTTTGGTCAGCGATTCAATTGGTTTCGTTAGCTGTGTGGGCAGGGGCCGTATCTTTAGGTCTGTTTCTTCATCTTGAACTTCATGGTCAGAGCTGTCATCAGCAACTTGCTCTTGTATTTCTGTTTCTATTCTATCACGGAATGCAGTGCTAGTTGCTTCCGTTGATATTTTGGCTTTGATGATTCTCCTTTTTCTAATGCCTTTCTATTCTTGTCTGCATGAATTCAGTGATATTAATCTAAACATGATATAGCCTCAGTGTTAAAAGATACCCTAATGTAGGGTAAAAATGCACTCATATCCCAAATAAAACACACAACAATGTTATTTTCCATATTCAAGTTACATAGTACAGAATACACCAACACTAAATTAGATACACACTACAATCATGCTGATAATGCCCAAAACAACACAAGATGAGATGTCATAGTCTGAAATGTACTAAAAAACACACCAATATTAGATTAAGATACACTAATCACCCAAATAAAACACACAACAGTGTTATTTTCCGTATTCAAGTTACATAGTACAGAATACACCAATACTAAATTAGATACACACTACAATCATGCTGATAATGCCCAAATATACACTACATTCACGTTGATAATCCCCATACAACACAATATGAGATGTCCTAGTCAGGATGGCACAAAAAACACACTAATATTATGTCAAGACACACCGATCATCCAAATAAAACACACAACAGTGTTATTTTCCATATTCAAGTTACATAGTACAGAATACACCAATACTAAATTAGATACACACTACAATCATGCTGATAATGCCCAAA